GGGGGGCGGAGTTACTCAAGTGACCATGGGGAGAGCTCATCATGTGACCCAATATGAAAACAGAGTTAATGGAACTGGTTTTAACCTAATAGAGTATCCTGAATTATCCAGTAAGATCATTTTGAGACTAATATTCTCTAAAGTATTTTGAGAAAGGAAGATGACACATGACCCACAAAACCACTGTAGAAGCTCTACTTTTCTGGAAGATAAATTTTAAAAATAAATGCATCAACACAGGCATATCCACTTTTGAGTGCTATATTTGAACCTTAGAGGACTAAGTATATATATTTCTTAGATGAACTCATTCTGAGTGAAAACTGTACAGTACTTCTAAAATTTTAATATGGACAACAATAAACTGGAGATTGAAAAAATAGTGATTCTGATTCAGGAGTTCTGGGGTGAGGCCTGAGTTCCCATATGTTTAACTAGCTCATTTTTGAAATACGGCCGCCGATGTGTCTGATCCATGAATCGTACTGAGTAAGAAAACACAGGAAAAAAATTCGTGTACAGGATTTTGACTGAAGAGTTTTATGAAATTAACAGGTCTCATAAATTAGTAAGCCAACCAACCACAGTCCTTCTTTAAAGTTTACTATGTATTAGATATTGTTCTAACAGTTTTCTATATATTAATTAATAAAACTCATACGTAATCAGAGAACAATGATATTACTATTCTTCCTTTTTTATGAGACTATTTTGTAAAACATCCAGCAAATGGCAGAGGCTGGGTATTACTCCAGACTTTATCTAGTGTGTGTCTGTGATGTCTACGGAATACAATAAAAGTTTACAGTACGAGGCCTAGCTGATAAAAGTCTCCAACTGCGAAGCTTCTATCACCAGTAAACAAAAATGAGAGCATTTATTTTGCAAAGCACTTACAAGCAAAGAGAGACTAAAAAAGAAAAAAGTGTTTCCAGATGAAATGTGATTGTTTATAAACATCTTTCAAAATATTTCTGTGAGGCCCTTATTAAGGATAAAGAAAAAATATTAACTCTATAGTTCAGGAACCTGGCAGAGAATATCTGCACCAAGTGAAAATCAGGTGTAAAGGAAGTGATATCACGTGACTAAAGCATGGAAGGACACAGCATCACTAACATCAGTTTTACAAAAATTTCAATCCACACATACCTTCCATATTCTATAAATTTAATAGTGCATTTAAAAACAAGTCTTTTTTGCCAATGTAGTAAGCAAGTACCTTCTAATTATTTTTCTTTTTCACAACTTTCTGATCTACTCTGAGCCATTATGACTATCCTGGTTAAATGTGCATTTTCTCAATCCTGTCCTACAGAGCTGATGTTGCAGGCATACGAAGTCTAAAACCTAAATTTCCTGGATATCAATGCCTTCCCATGTTGATCTGTCACAAAGAAAATAATTTCAAAAATTGAAGGTGTAGGGATTTAGAACAAGGTACCCTAAAATGTGCTTCAATGGTATGCAGATTATTTTGAGCTAAAAGCACCAAGATCCTGTGGGCTCAGGAGAAACTTCTGCTCTCCCCTTTAACTATCTAGGAGAATTTAAATTAGGAGTCTGGCCCGTGATAAGTGTTAAAACCAAAAATGACTTTTTACCTATCTAGATGGTAGATAAACTAATAATTCCTGAACATGTGATCTCCCAGTAACAATCTTGTGAAGTCCCCAGTTGCACTACCTCATCCCAGGCTCAGGCTCAGAACGTCTCACCTACCAATTTTCCCTTTCAGTCTTGAACGTCTCACGCAGGTGGGGTCTCTGACTCTCTCATGTATGTGGAGCCCCCAAACATACTGTATGTGTTAAATTTGGATATTTTCCCTTGCTAATCTGTCTCATGTCTATCTGATTAGACCAGCTGAAAGAATCTTGAAGGTAGAAGAAAGTATCTTCCTCTTCCACAAAGTTAATTAATTTATGGCAAGACTTCATCATGCCTTACAGGGAACATGGATGGAGACAATGGCCAGAAGACTGGGACAAAAGGAAAAGGTATTCTAGAGATAGTACAGGGATGTCACCACCCCTCAACTCCCTACTCAAAAACCCAGAGGTAGTTACAGAGCACCCTGTTACCTCCCTCCTACATGCCTGCTTCCTTGCAGATGCTGAAACTACTAACTCACATTAGTTGATCCAGGTTTGTCTGCTGTATGACCCTCCTGGGGTGGCTCTAGTGAACTACATCAAAACCTTTTCCCCACAGCACAGGCGCTAATAACCAGGTAACCCAGTTGGAAAAGGAAGTCACCCCACCCCGAAATGAAAATTTCCACCAGCAGACCTTTTTCAAAAGGCCCATTTTTTCCCAAGCTTATTAAAGCAGCCAAGCAGAGCCAGCCCCAGGGTCAGTTCCGAGGACCTTCCTTTCTCCTGTGCTGTCTCCCTTATGCTCAAGCATAAGCCTAATTTGGACTACCATAAGAAAAAAAAAAGAAAGAAAAAAAAAAAGTCAGTAGTTAAAAAACCTCATTAGGAAGGGTCATCAAAGTAAAGAAGTAAAGGTTTGCAGCTTCTAAATCCATGAACTTTCGAAAGAGATGCAAACACGGAACTGACCTGCGACGAGCAATTACCTGAGACGCAGCCATCCTGTCCTCCTCCTCCTGCCCCGGGTTCTTCTCAGGCGACTTTACGTAGAGGAATCACATCTGCATCTTGAGGACATGCTCTCAAAGGCCTAAGCACAGCGCCATCCTCTGTTTCCACCACACTCACAGGCAGAAGGATCTTGAAACGCTGAAAAACGTCACACTGCCCTGTCCTTTGTCACAGGAGAGATTCAGAAACAATGAGATCCTACCTGAGGCCGAACTGTGAGTTTTTCCTCTACTTTTGTCCTGGGCTCTAAGCAGAGCACCGTTACCTCCCCTGCACCAAGGCCACCTCAGCTCCCGCAAACGCACGGGGGCAGAGGGGCCTTCTGCTAAATGCTGGCCTCGCTTCTGAGTCGCCTGGAGCGCCACAGTAAAACAATGATGTTCCACCCACACCAGCTGTCCAACTCTGGGGAAGTCGGCACAGGTAATGTTATTTCTTACAACTCATCAAATGATGTAATGGAAGAGGACCTTTTAGCTAAGCATTTCTCCTGAAGCTTTAATGTGCATGCAGAACCCTTGGGAACCAGGGTCCCGATCTGCAAAGTTATTATTCTGCAGGTCTGCAGTGAGGCCCATGGAATAGCATCTTTACCAAGTTCCCTGGTGGAGCTGACCTGCTTTCAGTAGCAATGGGCTACAGATACTAGACTCAAAACACCTGAGACCTGAGTGTAGCGTGAGGGGTTGGGGTAGGAACTTCTAGAAGGGCAGGCTCCCAGGGTGAATTCCCAAAGGTGAGGTGGTCCTGGAATGGGTGTGGCCAGGTCCTTAGGTACTGTGTAGGTGCAAGGGGGGAAGGGGGAAATCACGTGGTGGCATCAGAGTTGTGTGAGAGGCCTGCCCTGATTCCTTCCCAAACTACCTTGTGTCCCCAGGTCTTCACCCCTTCACCTCCCATGGGCCCATGGTACAGCAGGACAATCCACTGCCTGATTCTCTGTCCAAAGGTAAGTGGAGCCTCAATCCTTAAGAAACAAGGAACAGAAAAGTGTTTACATCACAGTTTTATTTGAAAATGAACCCAAGAAGCACACCCTAGAAGCCTGTCAAGAGATGTGATTGTTCATACCCCATCCATCTTCACCTTCTCCAACTGACCCCCAAATATATTTTCTTGTCGTTCTTGCTACTGTTTTACTACAGTAAGAACACTTCACATGAGATCTACCCTTTCATTAAAATTTTAACTGCACAATACAATAGCGTTAACAACAGGCACAATGTTGTACAGTGGATCTCTGAAACAAATTAATCTTCAATAAATCAAAATTTGTATCTCTGAATAGCAACTCCCATTTCCAGTCTCCTCGACCTCTGGCAACACTAATCTTTGTTCCTGTGAGTTTCACTGTATTGTGGGAAATCTCAACCTGGATTTACACAGGGTTTATACACTAAAATTACTTACTATGAAACGTAAGTTTAAAATGTATAAATTTAATAGTCATGTTATTAAAGGAAATATGATTGAATGCATACAGATAAGCCCCCAAACTTGACAGAGTCTAACAAACATAATTATTATGAAACAGAAAACAAATTCCTGAAACACAGCAGATTCACTATAATAAAACCTTAAATCAGCCCTGAATCTTCAGGGAGAGATTTATGCTTTAAACTGCAGATACGGTCTTAGGAAAAGAATAGGTTATTTTTTTTTTGGTAGGATCACAGTTGAATTCGTATGTATATACACTCTCAACCTTACAACATGGTGTTATTCAGAGTCTTTTGGTCCTTGTTGTATTTGTCTAAACATATGTCAAGTTCTGAGAGGAAAATTTTTAAAAACTCTCACTCTAGGAATATGTTTCTCAATTTCTCCCCGCATTTCCTAGCATTATATCATTCATCTTTAGCTTTGTTTGTCATTTGGACTTATATTTATGACTACTCATTTACTCATGCAAGTTTTACTATCTCCTTGGTGCCTGGTATTAAAGACACAAAACAGAACAAGACCAAGGCTGTGCACATGTGGGGCCGACACCCTAATCAGAAGAAAGACAATACACATGTAAACAAATAAATAAACAGAAAACTATCTGAGTCCAGAGAAGCCCGATGCAGACCTGTTAAAACAGCATAACGGAATTACAGCCTGAAGTGGTTGGCTGGGAAAAAAAATGCTGAAAGTTGGGAACAAGGGAACAGCCACTACAAAGGCCTAAGGCAGAAACTCGCATATGTGTTTCAGGAACAGTGAGGAGGCCCCTATGCCTGCAGCTGATCCAGGGAGTGGGTGAATAGGCAACGAAATGGAAGGAGCAAATGGGTGAGTTGTGGGGCTCCATGGGCCATCTTAGCTTCACAGACTACGTTTTATTGTTTTATTATCTATCCAGTCATTCACTAGAATATTTCATTTATTTAAATTAAACTATTATATATTACTTAATGAGCACGAAGTAGTAGGTTCTCGCAATGAATCAGATAAGGGTCCTGTCACCCGTATGGATCTCATAGACTATTAGAGAAAAAAGAGAAATAAGCAATTTGATAGAAAAGCAACAGAAACAAATCTGTCCAATTACAAAATAAAATGCACACTTCCAATGTGCCAGACACTGTTCCAAGCTCTTCCTGCATATTCATTAATTTAATTATTATCACAATATTACCAGGTAGATATAATATTGTCCCCATTTTACAGATGAGGGCCAGCAGCACTCCCAAGATCACAACCAGGACCAGACAGGTCTTTCTTTCCTTCCCTGTCCCAGTACTACTTTCCAATCAACACTCTCCTCTCTCCCCTCAAACTCCTTCACCCTACAACCCCCAAAGAGTCTCAAGGTCTGGGGAAAACAGCTCTTACAACCCTTCAGGCCTCTCTGCTGCTGGTACCTGCAGGGGGAAGGAGGAGGTGAAGGAGCCACAGGCACCCAACCCTGCCTTACACAATGTCCCTTACCTCTAGTCCCTAGGATTTGCCGGGCCTGTGGCTTGTGAAGCACTGACTCGTCTTGATGAGGTCTTCATAAAACTAAGGGCCGTGGAATTTGTTGAGCAAATAGGTGGCATTAGAGGACTGTATGCAGGGGAGGGGTGGGTCAGCTCTGGATACAAGATGACCCCTCTGGGACCATAAGGGGGGGACAGACTGGAAGAGAGAGACTGGAGGCCAACGTGGAGGCTCAATGAGGGCCCAAGGACTGAGGACAGAAGCTGAGCCAGCGGAGACCATGGGGATGGAGAGGACAGGATGGGTAGATTCAAAGGTCAGGAAACAGTAGAGAGGATGGGAGACTGGGAAGCTTGGGGATAGGGGCATGTGTTGGCACAGAGAACCTTGGGTCTTGTCCAATGACTGAGTAGACAGCAGGGAACCTGAGTAAGGAGGAAAATTAGGGGAAGACAGTGAGCTCAGTGGGGACCTGTGGGTGCAAAAGGTCCCAATAACGATATTTAGATGCAACAGTCTACAAGCCAGGAGAGTGGTCGCATGGAGGGTGAAAGGGGACTCTTTGCAAAGCCCTCCAAGAGCGAAAATACTCAGGGTTTTCCAATAACTTGAGTAAGACTGGGATGGGTGTGGGTGACGCTTTGAAAAATGCCACACAAAAACCAAGGCCTCAAACACCAGGCAAGGGTGTTGGGACTTCCTGCCCAGAGCAGCAGCAACATGGGACACCTGTGATGGAAGAAAGAATCTGGGAATGGGAGTGAGGGCAGGAGGCAGGTGGATTGAAGGGGGTGGGGGTAGGAAGCCCCAGTGGGTTCCTGATAAGCACAGAGGGATATAAAATGATGAACAGATTTCGGCACTGAATACTTTGAAAAAAATGTTAGCTACGGACATATGTTGGTCAAATTACTTCACCATGAATAGATGAGTTCTGTTGGAACAGAGCATCAAGACCATACAGTCCGTCCTTCAACATTCTCAGAAAATGGAGGAAAGGGACTTGAGGAAACACTGCTGTAGATCACAGCTCACTAACTTAACAAATCATATAAAAGGAATAAAAGAGCTGCTGAATATTAGACTAACTCACTAAAGCTAGGTTCTGACTGTTCAGAACACCGACATCCTTACCAAGTGTACAATGAAATGGCCTAATCTTATTTACTGTGTTGCAATGGATGTTTCCACATATGATATAGAGTAGAAAGAACGCAGGGCTCATCATCTAAACTAAACACAATATATTTAAAAGCAAAAAAAATTTGGTATTTTAAAAATATATAATGATTTCTAGGTGTGTGTTTTTAATTTAAGCTACCTCATATTTAGAAAAGAATGATAAAAGCTGGTTATGTGATGTCATCAATACTTATTTCAGAAGTTAATGACCATTTAGAAAAAAAACAGAAATTCAATAAACAAAGATGTGTTTCAATATGCTTTTAAAAACATAATGAAGTAAATGTAAGAGAGGTAGAAAGAAAAATGTAAATTCATTTCAAAAAAGTAAAAGACCAACACTTTCAATATTCCTTGAAAAAGCACCACAGAGTGACAGACTTGGTCATTTCTTGTCCCATTTCACCTATCTAATCCCATCCCAGGAAATGACAAGAGACCCAAGGCAAGTCTCTCCCCTCTGGCTGAATAAGGGTTGCAAATGGAAGTATTCAGTGATGCAAATAATTATAAAATGCACAAGCGTTATAAACTGGAGTTTTGCAATTCTCATTCTCATCTCCATAACTGAAATAATTATGCAAACTTTAAATTAAACAGGTTATAAAGCCACATGTCAACACCACAACTTAATCATCCACATCCCATCAATTCTCCACTCATCCAGATCTGGGTTCCCCTTCTTCCTCCACTACAATGTATTTGTTTATCAATCTGTTTAGGTCTCTCTTTCTTGTTTCTTTCCACTGCTGTCCCTTCCTGCGTCCCCTCTGTCTCCCTCACCGCCCCCCCCCCTTTTTCTCACCCTTTTCTCTATTCCTTTCGCTATACCTCAGTACCACTTTCTCCATACTCTCTGATTGCTCCCCACCGCCAGAACGCGTCTCTCTCTCCACATCCCTGTGTCCCCTCCCTGCCAGCTACCTTGCCTTTCAGGTTTACACCCCCTCTGCCAGACTCCCCGGCACCGCCACCGGCTAAGCTCACAGCGCTGCTTCTGTGCGCCGTCATCCTACCGCTCCTGCTCCTGTCCTCCCTGCCTCTGAAGCGCCTCGCCCCTCGTGGCCTCCCCTTCTGCTAGCCCGGCGCTCCTCTCCCCTTCTGCTCCCCTTCCCGTCTCCCGGCCCCTCCCACCCTCCACGGCTCTCTCTTCTTTCTCCATCTGCTACGCGCGAGCCACCCTTTCTTCCTTCCCGGCGCTTTACAAGGTCCTCCCACATTGTTTGCCCTCTTACGGGCCCCTCACTGACCTTTCCGCCCTCTCACTCCTCTATTTCCTTCTCATCTTTCTCGCGATCCCCCCTAGGCCCAGCGCTGCGCCCCTTTCCTGGCCTCCCCTTCGCCAGCACGGCTTTCACAAAGCCACTCCCCACGTGGGGGGAGGTGACCTCTTCTCGGGACACCCCGTGTTCTGTCCTGAATCCCACCGCACTGAAAAATGCACTTTTTTGGCATCCGGCCTTACTTATTAAGTGGAGGGTGGGGGAGGGGGTGTCTGCAGAGGGAAGTGGGGGGTCTGCAGAACCCCAGGCCTGGGGGGATCGGGGCCTCTCCCGGCGAGAACTGCGAGGCTGGGGGAGGGGCGCAAGGAGTTGGAATCCATCTCCCAGGACCTGAGATGGCCTGGGGAGGGGTGGCCGGCCAGTGCAAGGCTTTCGGCAGGAAAGCTACGCGCCGGCTGTGCTCCACGGTCGGGAGACAGAAGGACCACAGGCACGGCCGACCAGACTTGAACCAAAACTACAGCGGGCTCTCGACCCGGAAGAGAAGCCCTCAGGGTTCAGGACGGGAGACTTACCGCCGTTGGAGACACGCGCTTGGGGCTTTCAAGGTCCGTCGCGCCCCCCAGGCTTCCTAGGTGTAGGACTGGGGCACAGATGCTTAGATTTCACCGAGAAAGACCGAAGCCGCAGGCGCCA